CAGTGAAGGTCTCAACTTCAGCAGAGGTACAGATGAATGAAACCAATGTATGCACAACTAGAAAATGTTGAGTAGGTAATTTTTTCTACAAATATCTTTCTTCTTTTCCTCTGTTCCTCCTTGTACATACATTCCTCAGGAAAAGTGCTGTGTTGTTGTGGTAAAGGGATTTTGCAAGTATGAATACTGATCTTTCCCTTAACAGAAGGAAATTCTTGAGGTACAATGTAACTTCTACCATTGTGTTGGAGTTTCTTTGGAGCTATGGGTGAGTTTCATGCAAAGGAACTGAATTATTCGGGATTTATGCACTCTGACAAAGAATCTTTGTCCCATCCTTTACAAAGTAAAGGCTTTAGAATCCAGTACACATGTTTTCCTTTGTATTACAGATATTTTATATCTGCTAGGCTAGTGTAAAAAGACCTTGAAATAAGTATAATGGGTGTCTTTATTCCTCTTTACAGTATCTCATTGAGATTTTATAGAATATTTTATGAGACAGAGGCTACAACTATGTTAAGCTTTAAGGCAAACACCTTGCCAAGGATTACACATCTAGAACTGGGTCCAATCTCAAAGGAGAACAGATGAGGTGACATTTTTCAGCTACAGAGTTGGTGACATTTTGCATTTTTCATACAGAGAACATGCAGCACCTGTACCTGGGTTTATTTCTTATACCTCCACACACCTAAAGTGCTACTTACAGAACAAGTATTTCAAGAACCTAGAAAGTGAAGATGGATGGCATCATCCACACTTTCTGATTTTCATTAAATAGCCATCACTCTTTCTAATTACCTTGCTCTGAATCAGGTACTATGGGAGGGATTTGCAGACAATTTCTGAACGACTTTTTATTATCATTTTAAAAGGTGATAAAACGGTTGGAGTCACTGTAAGTGAAACTGTCAGGAAATGGCTTTTCTGTTTTTTCATAGCCGAACAGGATAGTACAGAAGAGGAAGATAATTCAGTGAAAAATGGCAAAGATGAGTATCAAAGTTGTTGATCTACTAGGTCAAAGGAAAAAATGCTGATTTAACCTGAAGAATGATCTGGAGCTTGGATTTTACACCTTTTCTGCACTTTCTGCTATTAAAATAATGCCTAATACACACCCAGATTGGAATTCTCCTTGTAGATTCAAGTTGTGAAGAAAATTTTAATTGTTTCAATCATTCAGAAAAAAAAAATCTTTAAATGGGTTTGGGGTTGAACTCTGGGTTTTAGTCCAGAGGCTGAAAATAACAATTTTATCTATCAGGGTAGGGCTTTAGGAAGCATAGCCAATTTATGATAATTGTTGATTAGAAACCAAAACCATGAAAAATTTCCATCTGTGGATACATTTATACCCTTCATTGGAAAAGGCACTGCCTGTGGATACCCCATCTCTGGAATTGTAGTTCACCATCCCTTCCAAACCAAACCATGCTCTGATTCTATGGCAATATGCTCTAGCTTTGGATTCAGCCCTGCTTTGGGCAGGCGATGGGACGGGATGACCTCCAGTCTAAATTATTCTGTACATAACTGGTAAAACAAATTGTCTAAGCTGCTGGTATTGATTTATTGTAATTGGGAAGAAATTTATGGACTTTGTTTGCTCTTGGGAAGAAACTAACGATTTTTGCTTGCTCTTTGGCTTGCAAACTGCTAATCAAACTTGCTGCTCAGGAGTATTGCATTCTTTCACGATCATTGATATTAGGAATAGGATTTGTGTGAGTGACCTGTGATTTGGAATATCTTCCTTTTTAAAATCTTCTAGGGGATATCTACCTGTGTCTATGGCTAGTGGGACACTGTGAAGCTGAGAGTTGACCAAATCCCTGATGGTGACAGCTAATCAACAAGTTAAAAGGTACCAATGGAGCTGCTGCAATTCTCCATGTGTGCACTATTGTAAATATAATTTAGCTTTAAATACTCTGTCCCTGACAGCTATGCTGCATTACCTTGCCCTATCCATGTGCTAACAGTATGTTCACAGTCAGTGGGAGCACTTCATATTGTAGCTTGTCAAGGAACAGTGACATGATGATTTATCTGAGCCTTCCTGTGCTTCTTCCTGGACTTTGACTACCTTCATTATCGGCCTCCTTTATTATTCATCTAAAGAAAGTGAGAAAGAGTGACTGAGTAATCACTGAAAGGTGATAAATTCCCAGAGCAATTTTTCAGAAGGTCTAATGAAGCCCAAGCACCAGTCAGATCAGCAATTTGGCACACAGGTGGCTCCAGGGTGCAGCTCAGCCCCCCTTGAAAACTCTGGAAAGACTCTGGAAACTAGATGATGCCCTAAATGAACAAAGGTTGTTGTTCCACAGACTGAGTGACATTGAGTATTCCCAAAAGGTTTTTTTTCCTTAATATTATTATTATTAGATTAGAATCAGTTCTTAAATCACTAAATTGTGTGGAAACTTCCCATTCCAGAAGTAAGCAAACATTCAAGAGTATATATATTTTACTTAGCAGCTACCACAGAAAAATATACAAAGTGGGAATCTGTTAAATGCAAAACCTAACTGGATATAAAAATGTATTCCCCTGACAGGTCTGTTTCTCTAATAAAATTTCATTAAAGAGGGCACCATTGTTTTATGGAATATTCTGTGGATTAGTATATAAAATTTAAGGCCATTTAATGTATCTCAAAAAGTCCAGTTTTGCATTGTACTTTAATTTTTCATCAGCATAAGTTTCTCTTGAATAATTCTCTGTAAAAAGGCTTCATTTTGCTTCAGTTCTTGTAAAATACTTTTTTTGATCAGGTTTATTACCTCTGAGTTCATTTGTATTTATCAAATCCAAATAGGACACTAAAGTTATAGTTTATTAATTAAGAATTGAATGGATTCTTGGGACTTGATTCTTATAAATCAGAAGTTTAGGACAACACTGGTAGGGTCCAAAAAGGTCCAAAAGGGTGACATCTGAGAGGTATTTTTTGCATTTCGTGAAATGTCTTTGTTGTTTCCTTACTTTTGCCTGGTGCACTGGTGATGATGACAGAAAAACTGGAGCAGACCATGCCACAATGAAAGGAAAACAAAAAGAATAAGACTCAGAAAAGCCAAGGTGCTTTAACTTCATGTTTTCTGCAGTCACCCAACCCAAAACCTGAACACAAGGAGGAACCTGGAGCTCTGAACGTGCATGTTATAATGGTATCTGCAGAAAGGCCAAAAAAAATAGGTGAGTGAGAAATGTTTCCTGGTTTGGTCTGAGATGATGCTGCTCTGCCAGACTATGAAGGGTCTGAATCAGCCAGGCCCTTTTTATGTTAAATATAGTTTACTATATGTAATGACTTATATATATATATTATATGTATAGGGAAATTAATGAATGTGGAAATATGTGTCTACCATATAGATTTATGTGTGTATTAGACACATGTGCAAATGCATAGTTGCAGGAATTAGGACTGAGTAGAATAGTTCTGGAAGCCAGGAACCGGTTTCCAGGCTTCATTCTTATCCTGGTTGATGCATCATTTAAAATAAGTTTAAACAGACAACAGAAAACCTAAGTGCTTCAATTGTCTCTGTGCACTCTGTCAGATTATAATTTAGCAAAAGAGTGTGCAGGACTGAATATGACTGGCACATCTCAGGGACAATGGAGGGGACACAAAATTATATGTCCACTTTAGAAAAGCTCAATTTCACCTGAGAAATAAAGACTTGTAGTGCAAATGTTCTTCTGGCCTGAAAAATCTCTGCCAACATTTAGAATAAAAGTGAGACAAACATTTCACACAGTCAGAACAACTTATGTTTGAAACAGTTTTTCTAGGACAGACCCTCCATCCTTTGATTCAAGACTGAAGGTCTTCTCAGAGTATGCCTGAGCTCACATATGGGTGACACAACTGATCCAGGTCTGACTTCAGTAATTTTTAACAGCGTTCTTTGTAACATACCATACAATGTGGTCACCTCTTCAGATCTTGAAGGAGTGAACCAGAAAGATAAATGCAATATCTTTCAGGATACTTAGATAGAAGGCCTCTGTGGCAGACCTCTTCACTCACAAGGGGAAAGAGTTTAAAACATCATCAGAAAAAAAGGGGACTGATTCACCCAATGTAATGTTTCAAAATTCTTATGTTAGCACAACACTGAGCAAAGCTGCCAAATTTAAAATTTAAGTTAGTTTATTAAATAACTTGGCAATATTTCAGACAATATACCTGTCCTCTTTTTTCTCTTTTTTTGTTATGGGAGTTTGAGATCACTGTTTGCTTCGTTTGACCTTTGGCCTGTCTAGGTTCCAGTTAACTCTGATGGAGAAATGCTAATGTGCTCCAGCTTAGCCTGACTCACCCAGAGATTTGGGGAATTTTCACAGAAGTGGTTTGTTTCCCATACAAACGGAAAAGGCTGATTGTGGAAGGGGAAAGTGAAACCTCCGCACGGCTTCCACACGGTGCTGTCAAATAAATTATCGTTCCTGTCCCAGGAGGGGAATTTGGTGTGCAGACCTGTGAGCGCAACTGGTGCCCATCAATGCAAACAGAGGGATGTGGGGGAGCTATGACTTGCCTGCTGTGGGCCTTAACCAAATATTCTCCTCATTTTCCCACCACATCCCCAATGGTGCCCTGGTATTCTTAACAGTTGTGATGTTCTCAGCCTCTGCTTGCCTTATAGCATTAAATGGCTCAACGACATTCTACATTAATAGGTACCTTTGTGAAGAATGCAGGGTGTAATTTTTGCTCTGCAAGGAATATTATACGTGTAGGCTGGCATGCACACAGGCATATGAGTGTCTCAAAACACTCTTCCACACTCCCCTTCCTACATGAGAGGGCAATAAGCCAGTATAAGCATATGTCTGCTGTATATATGGCTTTAATGAGAAGAGGAGACAGTGTAGATCAGCCATGTTATAGCTGGTGAGGATGTCAATTCTTCCAGCCGGGGCAGCATTCCAAACCTGAGACTTGTGCGTTGTAGTAGCAAAATATCAAAACCCCTCTCACATCATGTCATGGAACACGATGCTACTTTTGCCCTCTACTTGATCATTAAACACAAAATAAGTGGCACAAATGCTTCCATCAGTCCTGTAAATACTCTGCATACCTGTTTTAATCGCACATATCATTGCAGTGGCAGCAATTTGCATGCATTGTAATCTCATGCTGACTTAGTTCTAGTGTTAGCCACTGATTCACTAATTTATTTAGTAGAAATAGACTTCAGATCCATGACGAGCTCTGCCAAATTTCAGAAGCCCTAAAAATCAAACAGTGAAAGAGTGAATTTTATCTTACACACAAAACAGGTTATGAAAATTTTCACACCCACAACCTCAGTAATGCAGTCAGTTCCCTCGTGTGACTCTACTCCCTGATTTCCTGTGGGGAAATAGTAAACCAGCAAATCTTAAGCTCAGCTTGTGACAAGATACTCTGAGTCTCTCAACTAGGATTCTTTTGCCCTGTAAAAAAATTGGTTATGTGTCCTATACAGTGTTGACAACATACAAATGCTTTCTGATTACCTGTCAATAAGATACTGTAGCAGTAATAGCACTTGAAGAGGTCAAAAGCAGTGTTTCTGAGACTTATAAATATTGTGGTATTTTTGTCATTATTGGACTTTAAGTTTTGTGAAGACAGTTCCTCTATTAAAGCAGCAATAAGCCTCCATCAACAACAACTGAATGACACTGTCAAGTCTTTCATTCACATAGTTGAACTGATGCTCTTACACAGCCAACTCATTGTACCGCTGTCAATCTGTCACTTGGAAATGACACTACAAGTGCTACTTGTATCAGTGACTGAACTCAAAAGCAAAGTCAGCCACAGACTGCTTCTACAGGAAAATTCATTAAGATTGTCGCATGGAATACCAAGTATGCTATGTTCAGGCTCTTTTTTCCATTGATTAGTTCCAAATTTGCTTTAAATACATTCTGAGAAGAAAGCAGCAGAATTAGACCCTGATTCAGCAAAAATCGAAGCATGTGGCTTTCTTCCACTCCATCAGTAACACCACTAAAGAAATGATCAACTGTTTGCTGAATTTGTTTTGCTTTGATGAAGCCATATCTGTGCAACAAAATCTAGTCTGCTGCACTAAGGGGAGATAGTATGTAGATTTTATCCATAAAAGATGAGTTATAAATTGTGATCCCTTTTTCTACTGTGAGCTACAGTATGACTCCTAGCTTAACCACAGAGCAGAAGAACATCAAACTGCCCAAAGAAATTAAGCTGGCAGAGCCACAACCATTATCTTCAAGCCCAGTTTGAAAGTGGGCAATTTTCTGAGTTCACATTTCTCCTACGCAAAATGGGATCTCTTGACTCTGTTTGTTTCTATTCTTCTCATGCAAACCCACAGTCCAGGACAACTAGACATGATCTTCTTTGGGGAAACACAACAAAGACAACAGTCAAAGATATCCTCTAGTAGGATATCCATAATTTTCAGTGACTTTAGCTCTCACAAGTCAGGAAAATTGATGTTTGCCACCACAACGTTATTTACTCTTTTTCTGCACTACTTAGAATCACAGAATGGTTTGGGTTGTAAAGACCCTTAAAGATTATCCAGTTCCAACTCCCCTTTCACTAGACCAGGTTACTCAAAGCCCCATCCAGCCTGGCCTTCAACACTTCCAGGGATGGGGCATCCACAGCTTCTCTGGGTAACCTATGCCTGAGCCTTACCACCCTCACAGTAAAGAATTTATTCATATCATCTAATCTAAACCTGTCCTCTGTTAGTTTAAAGCCATTCCTCTTTGTCCTATCACTACAGGCCCTTGTTAAAGGTCCCTCTTCAACTCTCTTGTAGCCCTTTTAGGTACTGAAAGGGGTGCTGTAAATTCACCCCTGAGCCTTCTCTTCTCCAGGTTGAACAGCTCAAAATCTCACAACCTATCTTCATAGGAGAGACACTTCTTTGCCTTCACCCCATGTTTGTCATGTCTAGAAGGGATTGCTACCTCCTCTATCTCAGGTTTACACAAAACTTAAAGGACATTCAGTTCATAACTTCCCTTTCACTTAACTGTTGAAATTCAGAATGAAATAATATCAATGACACTTTGGAATGCAAAGTAAGTCCCTAATGTCAAATAATAATCTGGGCTCCTTGTAGATCAGTGGAGAGAAAGAGACTCTAATACCTAACTGAAAAAAACCTGAGTAAAGGCATGAATGCTCCTGCAGAACTTCCGAAACATCTATGTAAAATCCAGACCTCACTGCAGAGGCTAAACTTATATTAACTTCAGCAGCGCCAAGACTTAACCCTCAGTTTTAAGTTCCAGCAGGGTGGAAAGCCAACTTTGGAGAAAGTGATCGGACTAGGAAAAAGGAGAAACTTCGGGGGTGCAATAACAATTAAAATGAATAATAAATTTCAACTGAAGTAGAACTGGGAAAAAACGTCAATGCTGACAGTGCTGTTTCGGCTGGAATTAGACTCTACTTGTTTTATGAAGAATATTTTAGCAGAAAATAAGCAATTTATCAGTGTCTCTTCTGGAACTGTTTCCATATTTATCCACAGACAAAGTTTGCCTCCTTTTCTTACATGTTTTTTTAAATTTTTTGCTTCTTTTTTGCCTTCTACTCACTAACATTTTTCCAAGTTGCTCAGCTTGGTTCTCCACTCTCTCCATAGTATGAAAGCTTTATTGTTCCCTGTGAATGCTCCATCACTTACCCCTCCTAGCTCCACTTTGGCACAAATGGCCTCTTTTGAGCTTCTGTGTGAAGACCACCTGCAGCAGACCTTGAAATGACTAACATGGAGGTAGGCTGAGATCAGCTTAAACTCAAGTTTCTAATGTACTCTACAACTCTTGCTGTTTCCTACTCCCCAAAACTACTTCATTTCCTACACTGACTGCTAAAGCAATAGTCCTTAAAGAGGGAGCAATGATTTACAGTGACTCTTCTTAATACATGAACATTAATTTTATTTATTGTACCAAGTATCGAATTTACTAGAGACATAGTCCATGATTGGCATTTTGAAGGAAATATGGTAAATTACTCAAATCTATGGATATAGCTGTAGAGATTTATAGAACATTGCCTTCAGTAGTTAGAACATAGTATATGACTAGTGCTGAGGTCATGTCCAATGTTCATTTTGCTCATTTACTTTTGAAGGTGGAGTTGAAATAGTTGCCAATTCACAATATAAAAGGGATTTTTTGATAATAATATATTGAAAAGTAGATATGTAAAGGTAGACTAAATGATAAATTTAATTTAATAGCAAACAGAAATTATTTGTGACTTTTAACTCCTTGAAAATTGCATTTTAAAAATACCTACTGACCTATGAAGACTCAGTATTACTCAAAGGATACATTACTTGTCTAGTCCCTCTCCTGGTAGAGAGTGGCAAAAGGGACAACTCACAGTAGCTAAGTACGGTGGCTGATGATATTTACAGGGTCAGTAACGGTAGCTCAGTTCTCCAGCTATTCTCTTAATCAGGTAAGAGATACATCGAAATCAACTAAATTGCTCAGGATTAACAATAAGGTGATTTTGTGCACAATCAGTCCCAATAGAAAAATTCCTTGTAGTTCATTGTGCAGCTAAGTAGATAAGAAAAACCTGCAGTTGCCAAACATCCCAGACTCCTAACAGCCAGACACAGGCACAAAGGCACGTGCTGGGGAAATGAAATTAGCAAGTGGTGTCATTTGTTTTAGCATATGATCACATCTGACATGCATGAGCTTGTGTCTCATGTGTTTTCTTGTTGGTGCTGGAAAAAGAAAAATGTGAAGCCATTTAGGAATGTTTCTGAATGTGATGCTTTCCTTTTTCCCCATTCTCTCTTTTTCTTTTCTTTCAGTAAAAACACCGGAGATGTTTAAAACCCCTAAATCATACAAGGCATATTTTTAATATCTTGTACTAGGGATAACCTTTTTAATAGTACTGGAAATCCCCATATAGCATATATAGGTGTATCCAGATGGATTGCTTCCATATGAAGGCATTTTCTTTTGCCATTTTTCATTCTATTGTATGTAGCTGTAACTTATGCTTTTTATAACGAAGGGCTACTCTTAATAACCTTGTATTTATTTTATTTTATTTTTTTTAGAAAGAGCAGATGTGATGAAGTGAATGAGAGCTATTGGTTTAATAAAGCACAGTCATCTTCTCTCAGATGTTACAATAAACCAGATTAGATAGACTTTTAATGATAAAGCTCCAATGTTACCTCTGCAGTTGATAAATCGTCTGAAATTTCATTTTCTCTGTTCTGCGTACCTTGCATACATGACTGTGTTTAACTGTTTAGAATCTATCATTGTAACAACATGAAAGCAAAGAAACCCAGGATCTCAAAATAGCTCATTATACAAATGATGATTCCTACCTGATAGGGAGAAGTGAAAGGTGACAAATCCTTCCCTCTCAATTAAATTCCCTTCATGAGAGCCTTTAGTATGTTTCTGACCATCTTGTCAGTCAAGCAATAACAGAAAATTCAGTGTCATTATGGAAAAAAAGACATTAAAATATTTTTAGTGGTGGAGAGAGAGGATATGTGAATATACTTCAAAGAGAGGGTCTTGTTTTCCTTTTATTCCCTCAGTATTTCCATGAAACCTAAGGCAATGACATCACAACAAAACAAGGTTGCCAAGATATACTATACAAAAACATGTTTTCACATGGTTACATTTTCTGCAAATTATAGTTCTTGGAATATAAATCAGAATAATTGTTTAAATCAGAGTGACTGTTGAAACAGATTTACAGAGATCAAATCAAAAATGTAATAATTCTTGTGGTTTCACTAATGCTCAGAGCACCAAATACTTCTGAAAATTTTGGTTGTCAGTTATATATAGTGTTTACATTAACATGCTGCTTGAACAGAGAAAATATATATTTTAAGATGAAAATGTGAATCCAGGGTTACAAGAATGTTTCTGAAACAGCTAAGTCATCTTGTTTCAAGTAAAACCAGATGTTTGCTTAAAGTGAAAGGCAATCATTTCTTTTAATTATGTTCACTGGTTAGGCCACCAGGAATATCCATATGTGCACACAATGATCCGATTAAAATCAAAGACCTTACGATGGAGAAAGCAATCAACAACTGAAAGACCACCAAATGACATGTGAGGCACTGACCTGGTTTCCACTACCTCTGTTCACTCATTTTCACTCAGCAAGTTGAGCAGGAGAGACTGCTGGAGTCCACTGAGGTCCCCTGGGAGTGTCATGTCCCTGGGACCTGGAGGTATCTTTGGGAGCAATGGCCTCCTAAACGGTTGCTCCAAATTGATGAACCTGGTCTAGACACATTTCTCAACTCAGCACAGGGTCAATACCTGCAAAAACATTCTGTATGCAGTAAGGAAACAGCTGCAATGCTCTTCTTTGGTCATTTCAGGATGTGTGGCCTTGTGGTGAGTCTAGTGGAAGAGAGAAAAATGTGGAAACTCACAAAGTGTTTTGCATGAATACTTCACCAGAAGAGAAGGGGATGGCCAAATGGACCAAACAAGTAGATTTTCATGTCCTCCTGAAATCCTGCCACATGACTGTGCTTGGCAGAGCCCAAAACATTACCGTGAGGTTTCTTAAATAACCCATAACTATAACAGCTCTTCATGTCCCAGACATTTCAAATGCACTTACCACTGGAATTTTTATCATTGACTGATGGCTTCGAAACTATACAACACTTTTTGTAGTTTGAAATTTCTATTCAAAACTTTGTTGGTCATGTATATAAGGATCTATTCTTAGCCCTCCTGTGAAGAAATACCAAAAGCTCTGGCCTGTGGCAGGAGATGCACCTTCTTGCTATTTACAGAGCAAAAAATGATCTCCTGGAAACTGGCACCTACCCCCAGTAGGGGGTACCTCCTCAGCTCCTCTGCGATCCTATCAGCAGACAAGGACAGCTCTACAATCACCTATTTCAATGACAATTGTGTTTATGAAAAAGAAATTAGAAAAAAAAAAGAAGGGAAGAAAACTTTGCTCAGTAAAAGATATTCTCTGGTCACGTGCATTTGTCAGAAATTCTGGCATTAATCAGGTGATTAAAAGTATTTACAAAAAAAAAGGATAAAACATATGGCTCCAGTGAAACTACTAGGATTTTTAACCCTAATTTCAATGAGCCAAAGAAACAACCTTTTCTATTTTCCCCTGTTACTTCTGTCATGGTGGGGTATTTTATTGTACACGTTCAGGTTCTGTGGTGAAGGTGTTATCTTCTGTTTGTGCATGATCTTGGCTCAACTGCTATATTGTTTTGCTTTTGTTTTCTGGTCCACCAATACCTCTCACCCAAGAAGAGATCGTTTTACTTCCATCCTCACTGCTCTGCACAACAACCTTTCTCTCACCCAAGCCTTACACTCAGCCTTGGGTTAAGTTCAGCCTCTACAGTGTTTTTCGATAAAGATGGATATGTATACATAACACCTGTATCCATGGCAACTTCATTTTGGTATGTGAGTCCTGTAGAGTCTTTTAAATGTTCCCCTTTCACATGGCTTCACTTAACTGTCAGTGTGCTCACAGGGCCCTCTGTGCATTGCCTCCAGTTCCTTAAAGCTCCTCTCATTGTTTTGACTAATAAGCAGTTACATTAAAACTTCGGGCCAGGATATTTAGAGGGAAAAATCCTGCAGACCCTGCAAATTTAGTAGCAGGCACTTGATTTTTGTTGATTAGCTTGTAGATATGTTGCCAGAAATATTTTCTTCAAGGCATACTCCTGTCTTGAAATACAACATCTTAACCAGCTTTCAACACAAGACAGGAACCAAAACGAGTTAGCATTGGAGCAGATAACCTCCAAGAACTCCTGGCACTGCTCTATGGAAAGTAGATGGCAATAATTTTGATATAAAAGAGTAGCAGGCAGGCTAATTTGTAACCCAGCAGGATCTCAAAATATGTCCAAAATATTATTTATTACTACAAGTTATAAAATAGAGTTAAGGCAGATTTTATTGTTTACTTATCCAAGCCATAAAATATACAAGTACAGGAAATATAAACAACAGCAAAACAATCTGCGCAAAGGCAAGCTTTCAGCTAGCCTAATCATCTCTAAATTCTAATTATTATCTCATGATGGATGGCTGCTGGAGTACACAAAGGACGATACCAAATCCAGTTCCCTGTTCCACACAGACCACCCCTATGGAGGACACTTCCATTCAACTGTATTATCACATATTCTGCCTTGACAGAAAATTTAATTTTCTCATCACCATTTGGTGAGTCTTTTTCTGGAAAAGGGCGTACTGCCTGCCTTGCTCTGGACTTGCTTTTGCAGATAGATTGTTCTTTTCCACTGTGGATGAAGGAACAGTCAAGAATGCGTCCCTTCCTTATTGTGCTGGCCTGGGTGAGTTTTTCTAGTCTAGTTTTTATAACCTTTCCATCACTAAATTCTACTCATTTACCAGTGGCATGTTAAGTGATACAAGCAATATCTGTTACATATATACTGTGAGTTCCTACTCATTGTCATTTATTACTCTCCTTTTCCCCACTGCTTCGGAAGCAGCATATCCTTCTGTGCATACCTCTTTCCATGTCACACCAGTAAGTGTCCTATGGCTAATCTGCAGGCGGCTTAGGAAAAGGATATAAAATCACAGGATAACATAAAAAAGGGTCACAGATTATATTACTAACACATTTAATATATCCACATGCCCACACAAGGTCCACATATTCACCATTACAGGCATGTACATTTCTGGTTTTAAATCCTCCAATGACTGGGACTCTGCAACCTCTCCTGAAAATTTATTCCATTCCTCAACTGTGGGAATTTTTTCCTAATATATAATAAAATTGTTGCTCTTTGTAAGTTAAACTGGTTACATCTTGTTCTATGCACCATGGCTGTGAAGAGCGGGTTATCCTACTTTCCTGTATTGTAAAGACTCCTGAAAAACAAACATTGGTTTTTGAAACCTCCTGACTAACCAGGCTAGATTCAGAATTCATTAAGAATGACTTAATTAACAGAATGAACACCATATGACTGACTTGAGCAATCTGAACTAATCATCCTATTTCAAACTAGGTTTTAAAAAAACATTTCTAGAACTTGCAGACAGATTGTATATTGGATGGAAACATCTTTGTAAAATATCAGAAGTTTGCAAAATGAATTCATTTTTACAACTATTTTATGAACTTGGAAAAAGTGAAGTTTAAATGAGAAAAGTTCAATATTTGTCTTTTCCTCTCCTAGTCCTCATTTCATTTAGCCAGAAAATGAACTTAGTGTTTAACAAAAGTATGTTTTATATCAAGTAATATTTAATTACTATGTTTGTTTAATAGAGATTAATAATTAAGCAGCCTGAAATGTAATCACTAGTTTATAGATAAGAGAAAAACATTTAAAAGGATCTTAAGTAAACTACAAAAACGTGGGCTAATCTTACGAACAAACGCAAATCCATAATCCTGTTTAGGCCATGGTCTGCTGGTAATGCATTTGCAATTAAAGTACTCTGTGATTTATGGAAGTCAGAAAGGAAATTATTCAGGAACATTTGCACTGTATACTTACAACAAGCTCCCCCTCTCCCGAAGGACAGGACTTTGCCATGGCTCAGTTCAGAAGATCTTTGACTTGTTTTGCAAAATGTTTGCTTGACTTCTTCAACTTCGTCTGTTAAATATGCTGGGCTCAGTTAAGATAACTGGCACACAGGGTTACACAAGGCTTGTAATTACAGCATCAATTCTTATAAGATAATTTCTAACAAATGGAGGAGTCTATTTTTATTTTATTTTCATATTCGTTGAGGAAAATATTCAGACTAAATAATTTCCCTTGTCATCTAGAACTCAGTGTACCAATAAATATAATTATGAACTCTTTTCATTTTTAAAATTTCAGACTATTTCAGTCTATTCTAGTTATTACAATATCTATTCAGGATACTAATATTAGTGGCAATGATAAAAATGAAAAAATTTTCACAAAGAAAATTCTAAAATTATTTAATTTTAAAATCTTCATGAATATTTAAGTTATTTTGAAAAAGCAAACGTTAAAAGCTGCAATATTGAGATCATTTTAATGGAATACGTAGGTTATAGGAAAAATAATTCATGAAACTGAGCAAAATATTTGTGAATTTTCTTTAACCATGTTTATCCATCAGAAATCCCCATGGGACAAAAATGCAATAATATAAGGTAAGGAAAAAAACAACTTGCAATCATGAATACAAGTTGCTCTCAACTTGTTGATCTTGCCTTAGTCAAAATTTTCTTATAGGAAAGCCAGGAATGAACAAGAAACTTATTGGTATTGAGGAACAAGGTGTGGTTCAAGGTTTCTGTCAAAGCAAGCCCCTGATTCTGTGATATTACCTGTACTTTTTGTCTCTACAGTTAAAGGAATCCTTTGTGGAGATACCAGTAGCAGAGCTGCTTGAAAACACTTCCAGCATTAACCTTGGTCTGGGAGACGCTGTAGCCGGTTGTAGTTGGCTTCCCACCAAACCCCATAGACTACAAAAGAAAAGCTCCCAGAAGAGAGAGAAGAAAAAAAACGAAATAGCAAAAGCTATATAATATCTATCTATATATATTTTACATATATTACAGATATACAATTAAGGTGCTATGTACATATGAACACAGGAACCCCAAATCACTCCCAAGAGGGAAAGAGGGGAAGGGAAAAGGGGAAAAAGGACAAAAAGGGACAAAAAGGGACAAAAGCAAAACAGGTATCCACAATTGAAAAAAATGGTAAGTAACAAAATAAAGAACTAGCAAAATCTCAGCACTTCCCTTGAGAAAAGCGGGACAGCCAGACACGGCCCAGCACTCTCCCCTCACGCATGGCAAACAGCAGCCGCTGCAGGCCTCAGCTCCAGATAAGCAAGGCCGAGACAGGGACCCACCATTCCCAAACCTTGCTGGAAGAAGAGAGAGAGAGGTCTCTCTGATCGTCTTTATTTATACCTCACTTTACGTAAAGGAATAGCATGGAATACTTCCTTGGTCACTTCCCTAGTTCCTTCCTGGTTACAAGCTGGTCTCCAGGAAGGTCTAGACTGAAACTATTACAGACACAAATGATTTTACAATTGAAAAATTAACTAACTGACCTTGGGAAAAAAAATGGAAACAAAAAAATAGGATTCCATGCCACTTTTCGTGTTAAAGAAATGAGAAGTCATCATCCTCCATGAAGCTTTTGCTGCTTATTGTTAAGTACAAGTAAGCATTTTAAAGGACTAGGGTAACTGATGGCCGTGATACAATTGGAATCTGAAATAATTGCACTTTTAAACTTCATCAATATAGTGAACGTACGAGATCCACAAATTGATGGTACTTCCAGTCTATCTGATCTTCACGATGCCATTGGGAAAACTGACTACTAACAAATACCAAAGGCATTTGAAAATCAGTGGCAAATCAGCTATGTTCAGTGGCAAAAACCTACACCAAATGAGATTCTCACTCATCTTTCCTTTTAAAAGCTGTAAACACAGTTATTTCATAAAAAATAGCTGTCTGTACTCTATCACCTGCAGCAGACTCTTAGAACTTGGAGAAACCGCATACATTGTGATTGCCCCTCCTGACTGGGGCAGCCCAGGCTATACACACCCTGATGGATTCAAGGTGTGGAGATTGCAGGTAGAGATAAGAATCTGAAGGAAGTAATCCTCCACATGCTCCCCATCCCTCCAAGCATCAGCTCCAGAGAAAGTCTGGAATTTGGGTAAGACAAAAAGGTGTGTGTTGGTGGAACTACCACCATCAATATCACAGTTGCACATGCCCTGGACTTGAAAATGGCAGCATTATAATAATTTTTGAGGAATTTCTGGTATTTCCCACATTAAGGGGAGTCAATCCTACTTGGGATAGGGAATGTGAGTGCAGGCAAGTGTTTTATTTGGCCCACAGTCATGTTATTTTGTCATATTAGATAGTACAAAATAATTCTTTACTGTGAGGGTGGTGAGGCACTGGAATATGTTGCCCAGATAATCTGTAGATTCCTCACTCTTGGAAGTGTTCAAGGTCATGGTGCTTTGAGCAATGTGGTCTAGGGGAAGTTGTCCCTGTCCATGGCAGGGGGACTGGAACTGGATGATCTTTAACGTCACTTTCAACTCAAACCATTCTGTGATTCTGCATTTCCCAACTTGCCTATAAATTTGAACTTGTTTACCAAATTCAACCATATTTGTTGGGGGAACAGAAAATTTGTATATAGCAAGTTCCTAAGTGATTTGGAAAATAAACTGGATTAAGAGAAGACCAAAGGTTATTGTCCCTACAGTCGGAAAAGCTGCTGAGTCTGCACAGTGACATTACTGGGCACCAGATAAATCATTCAGAAAGATTCTGAAGAAAGGCTTATTCAGGTCTGGTCTTCATGGGAATGATTTGCACTTGTTTTTGTTTATTGGTTGCTTGCTCAGCATCATCTGAGGGAGTTGGATGCTTATATTATTTCTCACTTAATGGTGAAATATTTTTTCTGAAACAAGACCCTAAAGAAATGTCTCAGATTCTCCAGAAAATGAGTTTCTGGTAGAATTATATCCAGCTGACTGGCATTATTTTCTCACCAATGCACACCCCCTTTGTCCCCAACAAATTTGTTTAGAGTCAAATAAGAAACAACATTTTCTCTTAAGGGAAACAGAAGAGAAATCCCATTTTCCTTTTTGTACCATGCACTTATCTCTTAAGTGCTCTTAGATATAACATTTGAACTTTTAAAAAATTAACTTAATAAAGTTGCATTTTTTTTCTCTTTAAGTTTACAGAACTCTACATGCAGAAATGCGATCACCCCAATTTGCAGCCTTAGGAGAAATACTATGCTGTAGGTTTCTAAAACCTGTCCAATACTATTTATGTAAGAAAATTCCCATTTCTACAATGAGCATTGAAGATGGAGTACTAGACCATTTCACATCAAAAAATTTCTGAAGGATGCACATGCTGCTGGATGTCTGTGAACAGCATTTCTTGTCTGAACAATGTACATGGAACCTTTACCTTGCTTTTCAATCCTTCTGGAATTCTGATGAAATCCTGAAAAGTAAACATTTGTTTCCCAAAGGAAGTAGCTGAATTGCAACAAATTCACTCTTTGCTGAAATCAGGTTATGAAGTCAGACAGTAGATACTACATACTACTGAATCAAAGCTCTTTCTGTTATTTCTGTTTTTCTGTGATATCTTTCTAGGTGAGCTACACTTACAATCAGGAGAGGATGCAGAAAATTCTGTGGTAATATAGATTTCATTCTAAGAATCATGTTATCAACACCAACACGTTGCAAGTTCAGAGCACTCCAATTCCTAAAATTTAAATATACATATTTGTCATCAATTTGAAAGAAATGCAAGAAGTTCCTTGCCATTAAAAGTATCTTTCCATTACTTTCATTTTCATCTTACCTGACTTATACATTATTTAATAACAATTAATAGACAAAGTTATTCGATAAAAACTTGAATCCAGTTTAGGAGCTTTTCCTTTGCAGAAAATGTAACAGTAAATGCATTGTCAACTTATGGAATGTAGTACTTCAGCATTTTCATGTAATTCAATTGAAAAAATATTTCCTCTAATTATCTAATTTTGAAAATCTCTTGGAACTTGAGGAAAAAATAATTTTATTATCTCCTTCTTTTTAGGTCTGGGATGTTTCTTCTACCATACGTTTTGCTGTATTGTGCAATTTATAAAAGTACAGCTTGCTGGAAACAGAGTTTTTTCCAAATTTGCACCATGTGCAATATAAGCTGCCATTTCACTGGGTGTCTTGAATATACAGGCTCTGTTACTCTTCCATTGCAGTAGTAGATGTTTGTCTCCAATTTCAGGGTATCTCTGTAGTTTGAGGCATATACAACTGTATGAAATAATAAGGCCCTTCCCAACCCTGTCTGTATGTGTCCTCACAACTGAAAGAGAAACACATTACAGGGAATACAAGAATCTTTTATCCTACCAGAGTGCTCCAAGATTTCTGTAAGTCCCAGCCAATACATATGACTCTGTCACAAGAAGATAATCTACAGGAGTGACCTTGGATAACAACACAACACAGCTCCACAGCCTCCACAACACAGGGGGCTGATATTGCTTAACAATTTTAGCGAGAAGAAAGGAATTCCACTTAAACATTGTGCAAGAATAATTGTTACAGTCCTTCTCCTCTCCCGCTTTCTTACATTTCACAGCCCAATATGTGCATTTGATTCATTGTTGTGTAGACCTCTTCAAAAAAACCCTTACAACAGTTTTTACTGATACATAAGGCACCATCTCCCCTTTCCTTATGGAAGGAGCACCCTCTTTCTTTCAGGAACTCACATTGTGACCCAAGCAGTTACCCTTTTGTTACATACCTAGAAGATATTTCAACCCATGAAAATCCGTAACTGATACTGAGATGCAAACGTCAGTCATTATCACTGCTTCTGCTGTTTCCTTTGGCTCTTATGTGGTCTTGGGCTCAGGCTCTGTGACTCAAGCAGACAGGTTTAGTCCTTTAGAAAATGTATGAAATAAAATAATCATTAAATACTGAAGTATTGAGTACTGGATATATAACTAAAGCAAACTGCTATTCATTTAGAATTATTCTGGAAATATAATTCAAGCCTATCTTTTGATATTTCACAGGCAGAAGAATTTATATCTGCATACAGTATGTGATGAAGTCTAGGATCCTTTGATTTTAAAGTATTCTGCAGCTTTTTTTTTTTTTTTTGCATGTGAGTATTTACTACAAATGGTTAAAACCCTGCTTATTAGATTTAGTTTCAGGTGAGTTCTGCAGAAACTGATTTGGTGCTCTTCTGAACAACCCCTTGGTATTCTTCTCTGACTCCATCTCATTGTTCTTCATGGATCTTTGCACTGTGGATGTCAAAATAAAGCCCCAGGTTGGTTTGCACCAAATCTGAGGAGCTATTGATGAATTAGTCCACATTAAGGGTCTGCTTGCAGCTGTTTATTGTCCATAATTTTTCATCCTTTTTAAAGAAATTACCTTCTTTTTCACCTGCTTGAAATAATTTTTTGGGATCTATTGCTTAGGCAGATTACTTCTGTTTAATGTTATGCTGATTCCATGTCCTCTCCATCTTAATGAAAAAACATCAACAAAAATTAAAATACATAACACTGACCTTTTTCTCTTATCATCAATGTAATATGTTGCTGTAATGTTATTGCTATGTCAAAGTATTTTGAAATCTATTTTCAAATTAAATTCAATTAAATTCTTCAAATTTTTATCATGAATCAGGTTGACTAATACAAATTCCACACTTTTGTCTAAAATCAGCACCCCCCTGACAACCCTGTAATCACTAGCATCATTATATTTATTCCTTTTGGGTTCAGTTGTGGCACTGTCTTTCTTCCAACAGTCTGACATTTCCAAAATCTTGAAATACTCACTGAAAGAGAATGCTGTGGATTCTACAGTCTTCCCTGGGCAGCTATTTTTAAACTCTCAAACGGAAAAAATCTGGATCTAA